AGAAGTATGATGACTTCAAAAGTTCATTGCCGAACACTGGTTTCATTTTTGATCATTTGCCTGAAAAAGAGTCTCTGGAAAAAGTGGTCGAAAGTGCCAAAACGTCGGTTAACCAGATGAATGAACGGCGCAAAGCAAGTCCTATTCTGTTGAATTTGTGGATAATTATAAATTAGGAATATATATTGCGCATGAGAACCAAGTTTTCCGAAATGTTCAAATCACCTGAACACTCGGATGACCCATCTGATATAAGTAAGTCTTTCCACGTAAACTATTATCGTATTTCGAAAGCCATTTCCAGCACAGTGCATGCACATACTGAAGTGATGCAAGAAAAGCAAAAAACAAAAAAAGTGAATTATCTTTCTGCAGTTTATGTTTTTTTCAGGACTCTCCACGGCATATTACCATTGAAGAATTGCAGGAGGCCTTGTTCAAGAAGGAGGTTTGCCCAAATATATCGTTTTGATTAACTTTTCGCAGTTAGAATACAATCGAAGAATCGAAAATCTCATGCAGGAAAACCGGACTCTGCGGAGTGAACTGTTATTAAAATCACAGCGCCCATCTCAGCGTGGTCGCATTAAGGTTAGATAAATTGGATGATTGTATAAGGTCCAGAAATCTCTGATTGATATGTACTCCGAGGTTCTCGATGAACTGTCAGATTTGGATTCCGCTTATAATGCTCAAGTGAGTTTGTCCTCTATCACTGTAAACTCATGCAGTTTCCATCATTTCAGTTCAGTTTTTACAAACATTAACCATGAATTTTCGCGCGCCGGTTTTGGTAGCTGTCTTAAGAGTGAAAGGATAAATGGAATGTTGGGAGTAGAGTCAAAGAGATGATAGAGGATTCACATGGACTAAGGTTTGAAGGATAATGAGTAGATGCACGAGGGCCGTTGTTTCAAACACAGCCATATCACTCATTATCTCCAATCGCCAGTTGCAATAATCCCGGGATCCCCATCCAGGAAGCCTAATGCGGTCTATGTGAACCGTTTCCAGCGGCACTGAATGTTATCTACAATTCAATCCCTTAACTCCCCAAACAGGCCGGTTTGCAAACAGACCTGGTAATTTTTTTATTAGCTATTCTAACTAAAAAACATGAGCAGTTGTCGTTAGCTTACGTCACGATGAGAATGCACCTTGACATGGTGTGGTGGTTTGTGCACCTCTGCGACCCGGCATGCTTCACGGGATGGCTTTTGTTTAGCCGAAGTCCACTGACCCGGTCCTTTGAGTTGATGGTTCGATTCCAGTTGTTGTTTCAGTCGGTATAATGATGAAGGAATGATCGATCGAAGTATATGGACCTCTGTTTCATCCCACCCACTACATTGTAGTAAGGTTCTTGTCAAAACTAAGGGCTTTGGTTGCGAACCCTAACTGTTCTGCTCAATGGTTAGACTGTCTATCGACATCTTTCCACCAAGCTCAAATAAATACGCAAACTGCAAAGAATACCATACTGTATTGACTATCACACAGGGTGATCAGGACCACGCTGCCCATGGCATCCAGCGGGGTAGGTAGTAATGACTGGGCTACTGCTTAGATATCTCAACCTTTGTTCAGTTCTTTCTGTTCTTCGTACAAGTTCCCTCCTTTGACCGTCCTTCCGACTTGTAACACTCCCTCGCATGAATTAGTTGTCATTCAATCGAACTCGTTGCTACATAGCGTTTTTAGTGATGCATCACGAAGTGAATTGAAGATTCCGAAGTTTTTTTACGCCACTGAATCTGGGGGCCTTCAACATGAGGATTCTAATACGAGTTGGTCAGCAAGCTTGTCTTGCGCGCACAATAGACTCCAGTATAGTCTATGTTTGCCGTCATTAGTCACTCGTAAGAGCTGCGGTTCTAATGGCCGATCAGCACTAGGAAGGGATTTGATTCATCGCTCATTCGAAGTCTGTCTAGGAAGGTCTTTCAATCTGCTCACTCAGCGAACAGACAACGGAGATCGGCTACTTTACTCTTGTGTAAATTATTGTTTTTCTTATCTTGCACCGACTTTTGAGTATAGCTTTCGACAGATGGCAACTTAGTGTATTTATTTAGCGGGCAAGTTGACCCAAATTAGCTTCGTAGCTGCAAGCTGCCGTTGGCAAAACTCAGTCCACAATTCTTTTTCGATCGCACACAATTTCCGGTGTGCTTTACACGTCGATTTATCGGCAAAGATCGCCGTATCAGTTAGCTTATCATTACGTCCAAGTTGGTTGCATTATGAGAAAAGACGAAGGAAATCAGTAGTGGGATCAAATTAGACGTGCAATATATTTGGCGGCAAACGTGACTCGTGGGTTCGAACTTGAAATTGATCATAAACACTAAATCTCTCAAGAGTCAGTAATCCTGATGAAACAAAAGTAAAATCTGCAACGTCAGCTCAGGAAAAGCCTTAAAAAAGACCGCGAAAACTAGTGAAAACGATCAAAGGTTGCTTCACTTTATGCGTAGCATCCGAGTTCGTCGCATACCGGTCAGCAAAACCCTTAGCGATAAAACTGGACAACGCGTCACAACAAGAAGCACTAGCTTCATCGTTGGACGGTTCAGCGCTAGTGCGGTTGTGACGGAAACTGTCGGCGGTAATATGTGAGTTCCTTACAGAACTAGAGGCAAGAAGTTGTATTTAATCGTTGAAGAAAGGGAGGATAGTTGAACCTTAGGGGATCCTTCTCGTTCTCTCTTTTACACTGTATGTTCAACCATTACAGGTTATGTCCCATTCATTCAGTAGCGCCGATTTGATGAAGGCTCCATTTTACTTGATCAAAGGAGCGTAGACCTTTATGTCGTCCGCTGCTCACATTATCGTCTAACACCCACTTCGTAAGAGGTCATCCATTCAAACAGCTGTCCCAACAATGGTGACCAGCATGCCGGCTTCATTCCTTTACCGCTAGAGTGTGCATCACCTAAAACTCTACCATGCCACGCCAGTTCACTAATAAGTGACTAGTTCTACTTGGGAATTAATGAAACTTGGGAATGTGCCTTATTTTATTAACGGAGAATTTGTATAAAACAGTGGAATATAAGTGCACCACTTCTTTTTATACGCAAGACTGTGTTCAGCATCTCTATCTTTTTGACGAACCACGCAATCCACTTGTAGGCTCACCTCACACAAACCCTACGGGACAAAAAATGCACCGACGTAAAAATATTTCTCATGATACTGTCATTACTGTCATTGGCTGCTTGGCCTATCAGTAGGATGTTACGAAAAAAGAACAATCTTTTTATTGACCAGTTTGCTCCGACAAGTTTGAGGCATGCATTCCTTTAAAAGGATTAAAATTCGTTTTCAATTACTGTTAGGACCAACTTCCGCGTGTTGTTGTCGTGGGGGACCAAAGCGCGGGAAAGACATCGGTGCTGGAAATGATTGCTCAGGCTCGTATTTTTCCTCGAGGATCGGGTGAAATGATGACTCGTTCACCGGTAAAAGTGACATTATCCGAAGGTCCGTATCACGTCGCCTCCTTCAAAGACAGTCCAAGGGAATACGACCTAACTAAAGAATCCGAACTGGCCGCCCTACGCAGGGATATTGAGGTTAGTTGTTACTTTATTCATCATGATATTCTGAGGTTTGGTTTATAACATGTATTTTATTTAACCATATTCTGCCATAACCATATTCCACTTTGGGAGAATGCTCTAAGGAGCCGCCGAAAGGTTGGTATTGAATGGGAAGCCGGAGAAAATTTGTACGATTAGGAGTTCATCGGTGATATCGTCTGTCTGTTCAAATATATGGAGGCTGCACAAAGCGCACTTGACGTGTAAGCAATTTCTGTTACTCAATCCGGTATGCGCTCTGTACCTTCAAAGTGTGAATTCGCTAATGCAAGAGCGTGTCGAATATCCTTGCTTTAATACTGGATAAAAAACGATGATTGTAGGAGGTTACGTCACTCATGACGGGGACTCCAGTTAAGGAGGTAACGGCATATAAGCTTACATAAGTTATGCTAATACAAATTCATATTCGAGNCTGCGTACACTTAACTGCAATAGTTGTGGTTTCGAGGTAACATTTCCTTGAGGTTGAAAGATCTTGTATATCGTGCCACTCTGCCGTCAGATCTACTTCACGGTTGTCAGGCCCCCAATCTACGTGTTTATAACCATCGATCGAAAGTTTTCAATCATCGATGTTTGCTTAGTTTGCCCTGTGTAAGATGGAGCGAGCGAATAACCTCCAAAAGCCTCAGTATTGTGGGGGGGGGGTGTCTAGAGTTGCGGCTGGTCACCCTGTCCTTGCACCTCGCGAAATGCTCCCATACGACCAAGCGTCTCGAATAGCCTCTGCTAAGGAAGCCCTACTCACTGCCTTCTCGTGGTGGTGTTTTCTCACCAAAGTAAGGGGACGAAAAGCCGATATCCGGGGCTATCACCGGGTTGGTGGACCACTGGTAGTTCACTTAGGGGAGTTGACCAAAAACCCTGATTCTAAATCAACTGTGAGGAGAGGTACGAATCACACCCACACCTTTTCGGTTGTGGTACTGGTCACCGGCTCGATTGGGCTTCGAGGTGTATTGGGCACCTTGG